GCCACTTCCGGCTTTTTTCTTTTTGCTTATGGGATGCTGAGGAATCGAACCCAGGGCCTCAGGCATGCAAGGCAAGCGCTCTACCACTGAGCCACCTTCCCAGCCCCGACTCCTTTTCTTTAAAAAGCAGCATATAGCTGGGTGCCAGCTGGGTGCTGGTGGCTCACGCCTGTAATCCTAGCTACTCAAGAGGCTGAGATCTAAGGATGGAGGTTTAAAACCAGCCCGGGGAAGGAAAGTCTAGACTCTTACCTCCAATTAACGACTCAAAAAACCAGAAGTGGTGAAAACCGGAAGTGGTGCTGTGGACCAAGCGCTAGACTTGAGCTGAATTGCACAGGGACAGCGCCCAAGCCCAAGCCCTCTGGACAGCTTCAGGCTCCACAACCGACCAAAAAAAACAAACAAACAAAATTTAAAATGAATGGTAAAATGTGAGCATAGTGTATATACTATAATTTTACCTATTTTTTTCCTGTTAATGGTAACATCCTTTTAGATGTCATCATAGAATTCCATCAATTAACCTGTGTTGGTGGCTCCTGCCCGTAATCCTAGCTACTCAGGAGCCTGAGATCTAAGGATCGCGGTTCAAAGCCAGTCCGGGCAGGAAAGACTGAGAATCTCATCTCCAATAAACCACCAGAAAACCGGAAGTGGCACTGAGGCTCAAGCAGTAGAGCACTGACCTGAGGGACAGCGCCCAAGCCCAGCATTCAAGCCCCCGACCCCCCCCAAAAAAGGCCATCAATTTAATCATAAGAAGGAAAAATAAATTATTTTTTATGCTAAAAATATGTAACTAATGTTACATTTTAATGACTACATTTTAAGGTATTGATAATTTTATTTAACAATATTAATTTCCTTTTTGATAGGTAATGGAATATCTTATTGGTGGAGATGTCAAGTCTCTCCTACATATATATGGTTATTTTGATGAAGAGATGGCTGTGAAATATATTTCTGAAGTAGCACTAGCTCTAGATTACCTACACAGACATGGAATTATCCACAGGTAAAGCCTGGCTTTTCTCCGAGTTATCACTTAAAAATGCTCTTAATCAAATATATGTCTTAATTCTTTGACTCCCAATACATACTTATCTACTTCCAGGTTATCTAAAATTTGGTAGTAGCTTATGTGAGTTGAAAAATTTTGATAATTCTTGTGCATGTAAATATATATGAATATGTATTGTGCTGGTTCTAGGGCTTTAACTCAGAGCCTCTCACTCTCATGTGCCTTTATATTCCCTACTCAATGTTGGTGCTGTAGCACTTGAGCCACAGCTCTACTTTGTGTTTTGCTGGTTAATTAAAGAGTTTAACAAACTTGGCTGCTTCAGCTAGCTTTGAACTTGGATCCTCAGATCTCAGCCTCCTGAGTGGCTATGTTTACAGGTGTGAGTCTCCAGCACCCAGCCTTCCAGTATTTTTAAAATGTGGTGCTTTGAACATGAATATGCATTATAATATGAAGTTAGTCTCTAAAATGCTATAATATGAAATAAATATTATATAATGTATTAAAATATAATATGAAATATACTATCTACTCTGCCATCATAGTCCTAGCTGATATATACTCTTTCCCTTTATGTAAGGAAAGGGTAAGTGGCTCTTACCTGTTAAAGTTTAATTAGATCTTCTTTTACAGATAAGTAATTTTAAACTGGCTTGAGACTAATTTTTTTTTCCTATTGATGTTTACTTACTTTAATTGAAGTGCTAAAACATAATGTAAAAGATAATGTAGTGTTAAATCATTTAACTTTTTTGTACATCCTTCTATACAAATAATGTTTTGCTTTGAGAGGGTTTTTTGGCACTTTTCATAGCTAACAATGGGTTTTTATAAATAAGTTATGGTTCATTTGTCTCTCTTAAAGAACTATTTCTTTCTCTCTGCCCCCACCTCTACACATACACACCTTCTCACATCGAAACTAGCTCTTATTTTACTTACCTCTGATTTGCCTTTTTAGGGATTTGAAACCAGACAATATGCTTATTTCCAATGAGGGTCATATTAAGCTGACAGATTTTGGCCTCTCCAAAGTCACTTTGAATAGAGGTAAGGAAAACAGTAGGCAATTTTCTTTTAAAATGTGGTGATTATTTATCTCAAAAGATACTCGAAATATGTAATGATGGGGAGGTGGCACTCTCTGATAAACAAGAAACATGGTGGAAGGAGTTTTAGCTGTAAAGGGTAGTATGTGGGTTTAGCATGCATTAAGTCCTGCGTTCTATCTCCAGCACCAAAAATAACAAAAAGAGAAATGAGAATCAATAGTTTTTGGTCTTTAAAACATATATTCAACATGAATCTCACACCTCCTGTTCTCCTGACTTATCCCTACTGATACTTGTTCTTAATAATTAAGCATAAGCAAAATAACTACAATATGATAGAGTTAATAGATAAAAATTAATTCATATATATATATGCTATCAACACCTTAGAAAACAAAGAGTCAAAGAAAGGGAACACATAATTCACACACGTTCACACATGAGAATAAGTTCATTTAAGAAATATTAATGCCAAAAAAAAATAAATGAACTGTTATACACTATTAAGTATATCAAAAAAATATACTGATCTAGTAAATGAGATTGAAAAAATACATACTGAAGTTTTTCTTGAGGGATTATAAATTAGTTAAATGATTGCTCAAGAAAATCTGCCATGGGCTGGAAGCTTGGCTCAGTGGTAGAGTGCTTGCCTCACATGCATGAGGCCCTGGGTTTGATTCCTCAGCACCACATAAGCAGAAAAAAGCCAGGAGTGGCGCTGTGGCTCAAGTGGTAGGGCACTAGCCTTGAGCTGAAGAGCTGAGGGACAGTGCCCAGGCTCAGAGTTCAGCCCCTATGACTCACAGGAAAAAAAAAAATCTGCCATGCCAGGTGCCGGTGGGGTGGCTCTCACCTATAATCCTAGCTACTCAGGTGGCTAAGGTCTGAGGATAGTGGGTTGAAGCCAGCCCAGGCAGAAAAGTCCTCAGGAGACATCTCTAATAAACTACTCAGAAAAGCCAGAAGTGTTCCTGTGGCTCAAGTGGTAGAGCACTAGCCTTGAGCCCAAAGAGGCCCAGCTGGGGACAGCACCCAAACTGAGATCAACTCCCCAGGACCAGGAAAAGAAAAATCTGCCAATACTTTTTTGTTGGTGGTGGTTGTGGGGCTTAACCTCAGTGCCTGGGCACTGTCCCTGAGCTCTTTTTACTAGACTAGTGCTTTACCACTTTGAGCCACAGCACCACTTCTGGTTTTTGAGTGGCTAATTGGAGATAAGAGTCTCACAAGGACTTTTCTCCCAGGGCTGGCTTTAAACCATGATCTTCAGAGCTCAGCTTCCTGAGTAGCTAGGATTACAGGCATGACCCACTATATTATAGTATGCTTACCACATAAACTTTCTAAAATCTAAACATTTTAAAATTGTGAAATAGTCTAAGTTCTATAATTCCAGATAAACTATTGGAAACCCTTTTGTTCCTTCCTTCCTTCCTTTCTTCCTTCCTTCCTTTCTTTCTTTCTCTTTCTTTCTTTCTCTGTCTCTTTTCTTTCTTTCTCTGTCAAATTATTTTGAAATATTATACCTTAAAATATTCTAGTAACATGGGTCAATTTTTGTCTTGTCATGTAGGTTAATATGAACTTCCCCTGATTATACTAATTTCTTCCTCCTTTTCAGAAAACTGATTTACAAAAAATACCTTTTGCTAGTTAGCTAATGATCACTTTTAGTAATTGAGTGTCCTAAGAAGATAATAGGATTATGTATCATTTTACCTATCTATTTCAGAGAAATATTGTGTTCTATCAGACCATTTAATGATTCTAGCTGTTTGATTAGGTGGTCATATTTATACTATGGCATATTTATACTGCGCATATTTATACTGCACAAAAACTACCAGTTTTGTAGATATGGTTAAT